AAAAAAAAAAACAAAAAAAAAAACAAAAAACAAAAAACAAAAAAAAAACCACTTTTCACTTTTGAGACAAATGTTCTCACTGGGAACTGTTTTCAGGTGCAGGAGGGAATGTCTTGTCATGAGTGAGCACCATCCTCAAATTGCCAATAGCACCAACCGCCCATGGAATTAGTCTTGCCCTCCCTGTTAGGAGAGAGGGAGACACCGCAACCCTGCAAAATCTAACAGCCAGTACATAATGTGCTCATCTCGGATGCTGGAGACCCAGGGTCAAGTCTCTGCTCTGCTTGATTTTAAGCAGGGACATGGACCTGGTGTCCAATATGTATATATATTGGACACCAGGTCCAAGTCCCTGCTCTGAATCAGGCACAGCAGAGACTTGACTCTGGGTCTCCAGCTTCCAAGGCGAGCTGGAGTGTGTGTGTGTAGATATACATATACTAGAAACACACACACACACACGCGCGCGCGCGCGCGCACACACACACACACACGGTGACTGGTCGAACTGCTAGGCATCAGGCTATCCTGAGGCAGGTCCCTCTCTTTCTCCAGTTTTTCATGAAGGTTGCCTTCATTCAGAAAAGGACTGGGACAAATCTTTGTAAACTGCTTCCTATCAAGTCCTGCCTATTATTATTTTTAGCTGCTACCAGTACAATATTCTAGAGACAGAAGTCAGAGGTTTGAGGACAATTCAAAATTGCCAATGAAAGGGGCATCTACATCCTCTTTAAGTGCAGAAAGAGAGAGGCAGATAGACTTATGGGGAAGGATGCGATGAAGTACCGGGTACCCATGACCGTGCCACGGCTGAACACAGACAACTGTCAGCGAAAAGAAAATGATGCGTAACAACTAAATGCAAAGTCAACATCTTACATCTTTGTCGCCCAGGGTTTCTAGCAGCAACAGCAAAATGGTTTTGAAATGTTCCTCCCACACGCCCAGGTTATCTTCTCGGGTGATCTTTAGTAATTCGAGCAGGGCTCCTTTCCGTTCTTCCACTCGCTCGTTGTGATTCGACAGTTCTTTCAGAAGATCAGCCACCAAATCAGAATGGTCAATGGGTACTTCTAGGACAAATAAAAGCAGGTCACTTTCACAGGAAAAAAACCCCCCTTCATTAAAACTTCTGATTGTGTTCAAAGCATAATGGTCTGACAGAGTCATCAGGTAGGGTGTGACTTGGATCAGGCAGCTCCAGGAAGGAGAACTTGGACATAACTCTAGAACTTGACCCTAAATTTATAAAAAAATCATACGTTTGTAAAAAGGTTTTGATAAACTATGGACAGACATGGATTTCATTTCATCCAGTTCTCTATGGCTGATTGTGCAAGATTAGGTTGGCCATCTTCTGTGTTTGTCTGACAGGGCAAACTCAACTGTCATGCTGTTGGGACCTTTAGATGGGACTTCCCGTGCCCACCTACACCCTGCAAAGCAACACTGCTGTGATGCAATTCCACCCCAGCAAATCAAGTCCTCTTGCACTGTGGCAGGCTAACTTTCATGGCTGGCCATTAGGATGTCCCAACAAAACTGCATTTGTGCCATATATATGGGACACATGGCAACCCTGTATTTGATACCAGGCTCGCAAAAAGCAGGGTTGAAACCAGATCGTCCCATTTCTAGCATCTCTTCAGGCCTGTTCTAATATACAACTGTCTGTGCAACTTTTCAGGTATAATAGGAAATGAAGAAGGAAAAGATAGCAATAGTGGAAAGACTCTCAACAGGTTGTTAACAGACTTTTTGTTTTATAGTGAAAGAATTATTTCTGGAAATGACCATTTATTATACCACTCCTGGGTTGTAATTCATTTCCAATGACTCATTTTCAACTTCAAGATTTCCAAACAATTTAGTTTCTTAAGAGATATAGCACACATGCACACGGATCCTATTCCCTATATTAGGAAAAGTTACATAGTAAAACAAATTATCATATTTTCCAGTAAACACATCATCTCTGTTTCAGTCTCACAGCATTTCATGCAAAATTTTACCTCTGGTTCTTCATAAGATATGCTGCACATCAGAGATGTAAGATATGGCCTGTGGGCCTTGGGTAGGCCCTAGGTGCTGTATACAACACACACCAGCCCTAGCCCCACATGTTGCATGCAGCACCCACACCAGACCAACCCTATGTGCTGGATCCAGCACACGTGGCCGGTCTCTATGTCTAATCTAGCCCAGGGACTGGCACTCTACTCCTCATCTGGCCTCCTGGGCCAGATCAGTTTGATACCCCTGCTGCACATTTAGCTAAAACAGCAGTTTCAGAGTTGCATCCCATGACAATTTAAATAGGGAAACACACAAACTCAGAACAAAGGCACTGCTTGTGAATCCACAAATCAAGCAATACCAACCATCCCGAAGCTGATCCATATCATCATCGAACACGGCCTCCTTCAGAGCGGTCTTGTCATAGGTGTTGATCGTGTCTGAGTAAGGGTAGGGATTGTACTCTCGAGCTCGGGGCCCTGAAAAGGCGCGTGGAGGCTGGGTATTAAGTAGAGAGGTTTTGTTATCGAGAGCCATCCTTCCCCCTTCCACAACGTCGCTGCTCCCACGTACGTCGCTGGCGGGAGCAGCTATTCCGCCATCTCGAGACACCTGAAGGGACAAGGAGACAGAAAGAAGTTCATGGTATTTTCTTCAGTGACTCAAGGAGACTGGATCCTTTTAGAGTCAATCCCAGTATCCACTAAAAAAAAAGACAAATCACTAATTTGGCATGCAATTCTTTCAGTTGCTGAAGATGAATTCAATATTTATCTTTTCATTAGTTATGCCACTCTTCCTGTTCCAAAAGATTCCCCTCGGTGAAAATTTGGTAATGGAATAACATACCTAGTTACATCAACCGCTCTAAGTTAGCACATATTCCTGCAACTTGGTGAAAACCGGCAAAAGAGAGCTCAGGTGCATGCATTCTTGGAAACAAAATTGCCCCGGTAGCAGCTGAAACTTGGACAGGATTTCACAGGTTTCATAGACATGAGGGCTGGAAGGGACCTCAGGAGATCATCGATTCCAGCCGAATTCCCAGTATGAGGATTCCCAGTAAAGGCGGGAACCTGACTCTGAAAATTAGCATCAGGCAATCCCAGCCTCCACTGCCTAGGGAAGATCAGGGCACGGTTGTAGCACGATGAACACAAGTTAATGTCAAAAGCGTATGTGATGGTGACTTTAAAAGGCAGGTTTAAAATACAATCGAATGACACTGCCCCACCCTCAATTTGTCTTTACTCCAGCCAAGAGTCCCAAATGTATCTACCAGATACCTGTTCATGTTAAGGACTAATTAGGCATCTCCTTAATGATGAAGAGCGCCTTGAGCCACAAGTATGTCCTCACACTCCCATGGAATCACTCTTCAGCGACTCGGGCAATCAGCTCATGCTGAACCTTTGTATTTATATATGAAAAAACTAATAGTTCGGAGGGAAACATTCCCTGAATTTTAAGATCTCTATCTTACTTTTTCTGTTTTAAATTTTAATGTGCAAACCAGCACTGAGCAAAGCTGAGGGTGGGAAATCAAACACTAGCTTAAGTATGCCTTATGACGTCCAAACTCCCGCTGCAGTCCAGATAAGCAAATGCCACGAAGTCAAATGGAGTTTGAAGGGACAGGACTGTACAATTTGGCCCCATGAGTTTAAGGGAAAGTAATGATATGTGGAACAACCCCTCTTTGCCTTGTGTAAAATAAAAAATTCCAAAACAGGACAATACACCAGTTAAGCCAAAGGTATTTCTGATCTTACCTAGAGCCTCACAAAATTAACAGAGTACTTACAATGTCACAGTCTTTCTTTCCATCACGTTTGATTGGTTCATTCAGATCCTCTTGACTACGGAAACTAAACTTCTCAATAGCCTCCGTGACTCCACGAAGTGAGCTGTAGATTTCATCGGAATTTAGGTTCTCCGTGTCATAATCCAGCAAGCTAGAGACCAAAGGCATATTAAGTGTCACCTGCCAAAGTGTTGACCTTAAACAAAGTGTTGACCGTAAACAACAAAATTACCCATTGGAAAGGGATGATTTGGCGTCCCATTCCTAGCAGTGAGTTGGAACAAAACATGGGTGGGATCTAGGTGGACTTGGGGGCTGATTCTTCTCTCATCTTGGTACAAATCCGATGAAGCTTTCAAGTCAACTGAGTTACACAGATGTAACTAAGAAGGTGAGTTAAGCCCACTGTTGGTAAGAACAAATGTGCTAGCCTGTATATCCAGAAACCTTACCCTCTCAGCACAGACTTATGGCACTATTAGTAATAGTTTAAAAAAAAAACAAAAACCCTAAAGAAACCAGCAATGAAAACGAGCACACACAAAGTGGTGACATTTGATGAATGTATAAATGAAATGTATTTTTACCTTTCAATGTCATATTAAAGGTCATCTCAAATCTTTCATGTCAATGAATTCAAGCATGTAAGAAAAATTTAAGCTCCGAGGGAAGACCTACCTAGGCACAAAGCTTAAACTACATGTTTCAATGGCCACAGTTAAAAAAATCAAAATACCTGCATGAAGAGCTAATAGCAAAGTAACGCTCTTGAAAGTAAGGCTGGAGAAACTGAACTCTATTTAAAATTGGGCTCTTGGGCCTAAGCCACCAGATCTTTCGAACTTCCTCCCTCCTGCCAAGGCACACATAGCTTGGACGGAGCAACTTAAAATTGCATTGTTTGGAGTTCCACCAGAAACATTTCTAACATACGAAAGAAGAAGGTAAAACAGATGTACGAAGACAGGTGCTCTTGCTTGCTTAGAAAAATTAAAAAAAAGAAGATTAAAGCAGGACTCTGTTCTACCCAGAGGAAGAGACGCCGAGGTGCATCACGGAGCGTCTCCAAAAGGTGTTCGTAGTAAAGGAGGCGCTCGGCAAAGGAGGGCTCCAAAAGGAAGGAGTCAATACACTGAATGATTAAGGGACTTGGGCTCTGGATAAATCACACGAACAGACTTCCTGTGCAGGTGGCGTGGTGTCTGCGGACAATTTGGGAAGAGGTTTAGAGGATGAGGCACAACCTGGAGGATTTGCGTCGTTTTTGCACAAAATGAAGGGATCCCCCGTGGAGCGGAAGAACCAAGAAATGGGAAGGCTCTGCTGAACTGTGGGCACCCAGCCCATCTTTCTTTAGAGACAAGTAAGATTTTAATCATCTCGAATGCCTTCTTCCTCCTGAAAGAGACTCAAGAACATCAGACAAAGGCTCAGATTTAGGCCCCTGATCCTTTTGGGATTAAACGACACTGTCTATGGCTGTCATCCCTGGCGCTTGGTCAAGGCACTCACCCTCCAGCAATGGCACAAGCATTGGTGCCGGCACTGAATGTACGCTGGCAAGGTAACCAAAAGACAACTCCCGAACTCTAAATATTAAACAACCTCTGATCTGTCAAGGCAAGATCTGTCTGGAAAGAAAAGGAAGCCACTATAACAACAGCTTGGGAGCGGGGCACTCAAGCTGCCTACGAGTCTTTCCAAGTTGTGAAACTGCAGATGTCTCAGGCTAAGGAATGACAGTCGGTGATTAAAATGACCCTAGGTGCAATCAGCAGAGCAGGACATCACAGGTCTTTGGCAGCTCCACGGTGGATATCAGATGGGAGACAGGCAAGTCGCCCTTGCTATCAGCTTCTAAATACTAATTTGAATTCATTCAAGCCCCTTTCAACTAAAGGTGGCCGGGAGGTTTTACAAACAGCAGTTACATGAGCAACAAAAGAGCCCGCAGTGTATATTTATGTCGGCATTATTAAAATACACATTTTACCAATAGAATAAACAGCCACAAAGTGGTTACACGGCTTGTGACGGTCACAGTCAAAGCCGTGGCAGGATCAAGAACAGAAGCTTTGGGGATCCTGACTCCCAGTCTTCTCATGCAATTATAGCTCCTCCCCCAACTAACACAAAGGGCCCCATTTTTCCCTTCCGGGTGCACATAGATTTCCTTATTAAGGTGTATCTGAAGGTAGAATTTAGCTTAACAGTGACAAAACCGTATATGATAACTAATCCCCTCCCAGAAGAGAGATCAATGTAAAAGAGACTTCGCAACACCCAAGCAATTAAGCAAGATGTGAAGAAAAGGAACGGAGATCTTTGCGAAGGCTTGTGGTTTGGAGGATTAATTCAAGACACAATGAAATTAAAAAAAAAAAAAAAATCACTCTTATGAAATATTTAAAAAAAACCCACAAACCACTGGCTTCTCAAGTCACATGCCAAGAATGAATCTGTGCAAGTGATCTCACGATGGGAAAGAATCAGGTTGCATTTCATATCAAAAGCAGCCTCTACATATGAACACACACATCAATCCGTTTGTTGGTACATGTGTGATCATATATTGCAGAGAGAGCACAATGGAAACAACAATAAAAAAAAAAAGGACATGTAAAAAGGAGCTACACCCACCTTCCAACAAAATCGTGGGAGACTGTCAATCACAACAGAAAAGATGACCCATGCAGGAAATGGGAAGAACCACAGGATGAGCAGGAAGAGATGAGCAGCTTTGAGGGATGTCACAACATTATTTTCCAATTGCCGCCATATCAAATGCAATGCGGCTTTCTGTGTGCAACGCATATAAGTCTTGCCAGTCTTGGGCAGGTGAAATGTATTCTTCTTTCTTAAAACAGTGTTTTTGTAATGCCTGACAATTGGGTAGGAAATCACCAGTCTAGCACCCTTAGCAGCCCCCGGTAATCTCACCTGCCTGCGTTCCTTCCTGCTGGCACGTTTATCCAGGTTTGCAGCACGTTGCCACTGGCAGCATAACTTCAGGGTTGGCGATTAGAGATGGGATGATAAAAGCATTCTTCTGTACTAAACTAGTCAGACAGAGGCAGAGCTAAAGGCCATAAGCTAGTGGGAACCCTTTCCATTGTCTTCAGTGGGTGAAGGATCACTTGGATCACTCCTATTGATGCTCCTGGCATTTACCTCCAGGAGTCGAAGGACAGGCTAAAGAAAATATCATTCTCCCTGGCAGATGAGTCTCAAACCTCTCTGTCAAAATGTCAACTTCATTTTAAATCCAGAAGGGACCATTACAATCAGGAAGTCTGACTTCATATGTAATATAGGCCGTGGAAATCCCACCTGCCGATTCCTGCATCGATGGCAATAAATTGTCCAACAACTTTGTAAAATATCTTTGTGGGGGGATTTACTGCCTTGACTTTAGCTAAGGATGCATGAAATGTGTATTAAATGAAGTCTGCTTGGAGAGTTATGACATCAAGGTGTAACAAATTCTCAATTAAAAAGATGACGTCTGCAGTCCTTCCTCAGGCAAGACTCCCATTAAAACAGAAGCAGGCGCGGCCAGTGAGAGCTCTGCCTGAGGAGCAATGGCAGGACGCAAATCTATTCAGCGATCTAATTTGGACATGGGCTACAATAACTATTGGGTTTTTTTCCGCCCCCCCGTGGATATCTCGCAGTCTACCAAGTAGGCATAGACTGAAAAATCATCTGTGTGAGCTTCATCTTCACAGTCTTAGGGGCATTAAGTAATGAATCCTCACACCTTTTCTGGGGAGGAAGGGGGGTCATCAGTGCATCTGCCTGTCTCACATGGGTAACCTGGGTGCACGTGTTTGAAGACTTAGCCCTCAATGTCACAACGTGACCGCGACAAGTGGTGGGATCAGACGGTGAGAAGCGTTCAGTTATTGAGATCCGACCTCAAGTTCCCACCATGAAATCCCTGGTATTTAATTGCGTGAAACAGGGCAGGAGAAAGACTTCCCCCAAGGACTCATTCTCGGTGCTGCGCTTTCCTGCAGGAGGAATGAATGGCTGAAATGCCCCCTACGGTCTCTGCACCAAAGCTCCCTTGACTTCATTCACGGAGGTCCCCAGACCACCAAGAGTCTGGGGTGACCCCCTTTTGGCCTTCGCAAACCTTCTGCCCCAGCTCCCCTGTGTGTGAAAGGGAAATAATATTGTGACATCTCAGGCAAGTTGGTTTAACAGGTAGCTTGTTACCTGGGAGAGTAAGAGCGTCTGAAAGTCTTGTGGGAAGGAGCAGTGGGGATGGAGTTAGGCTGAGAAAGGGGAGGGGGGTGCTTCGACAGCCCGTCTGCACTCCAACCCCAGAGCCGACTGCAGTGACCAGAGGAGGAACGAGAGAGAGAAAGAGAACAGAGAAAAAGAAAAGGGAGAAAAAGAAAGAAACTATAATCTGAGTGGCTTAGTGGTCTCATGCTGCCTTGGAGAAAGAGAGAAAAATTTAATAGAAACAAAACCAGACAAGAATACTCCACTGACCCCCATCAGGCCATTGCTTTGGCATTTTAGTGTTCACTTCCACCTTTATTAGCAATTAGCAGAGAATGTATACCAGACGGCCCCTGAGTCCTCTACTGAGTATATTACGCACTCACTCAAAACAATTCTTTAAATGCTCTATGCACACGTGTCTGGATGCAAGCTCCAAGCATATGCTTTCAGGCAACAGGATATACCCAAGAAAGGAGGAAGAGAAAAAGAGGTTCATAAAGAGGGTTAACTCTAATCGGAGACCTACAGGTGGCTTGCACGTCCAATTCTGCGTGCATACAGACAAGCAAGGTCAGTGAAATCCTGCTGTCGGGACTCGCGCAAGGTCCCACTGATGTCTGCAGGCGCCAAGTCTGATGGGTAGCAACTGGATTGGGTCTGAAATGCGTCCTTGAGCTATGCCGAGCACACCGTTCGTTTTATGCTCAAGTGCAAAGAGGTATGACTGTCACATTGCAGGCCCAAACCCAACCCACATTAACAATAACTGAAAATCCTCTCCTAAGAGCTTTGTGTGCGGCCCATATCCACATGAGTCTGCGGTCCTACCTCGCATCCCAAGTGGACATATGTAAAAATGTTACATCTGACATCTGTGGCAGCCTCTATAGATATTTCAGATTGAAACAGCCACAGAGACTGAACTGTCCTCTGCAATGGGGGAAGCGCACACATCCCCTGCACGTGCTGCTCTGGAAAAACAGCACTTCTAACTTGACGGATTAATCCAGCCCTGTACTGATTTCAAAATTGCAGTGCCACAGCTTGTACTACCCCAAATTGGATGGTTTTAAGGCAGCCAAATGTATCCCCTGTCTCTCCAAACCATGTATTGCTTAAAGGAATGTAAGGGCGATAGTTATCAAACACCTTAGACTTGCCCGCAGGCTGGATGATCCAGGTCCTAGGACAAAATCTAGGTGTCAGACTGGAGAGACAGTGAGGAAAGGGACAGGGTTATGACTTTTCACAAGCTTTCATCTCGATCCCATGCTGTGCCGAGGGCCTCTAATAACACCCGAGATTGGGCTCTCATCAACGTGGAGATCTGTGCACTTGCAGTCTGGTGATGCCACAGAAAACAGGTGGGGTAAAGTCTCTGTACGGGATCTACATAAGAAGTGCCATATTAGATCAGACCAACGGTCCATCCAGCCCAGTATATCGGTAGAGGTGGATGCTACAGGGTGGGGAGCGTTGAACCGGATACACCTAGAGTCATCTACCCTCTATTCAACGCTCTCCCTAGCATCCACCACTACTGGTTTAGAGATGCCAGAGGAAACACCTCCAATCATTTTTTCAATAGCCAGAGTGGCAGATCTATCATGCATACATAGATCTATCAGGCATGAATTTATCCAGTCCCTTTTTGAATCTGGCTATGTTGTCTGCCCCCATGATTTTCTGTGGCAATGAATTCCACTAATTAACTTCTGCACGTTAATCATGTTATTCCCTCTGCCAGCATTAGGGCGATTGTAACCCCTAAGTGCTGTGCACGGCCCAGAACAGCATCATGCCAGCTGAAGCAGGAGGCTTGTCTGCGTGACTTTCTATGCCATTCTTCTTCACACAAGGTCTCTGGTTGGAGTATTTGGCCCATTACAGCAGGCTTGACTCTTCCTTACTAGACGAACCCACTGTACAGTCAGTGTTTCAGAAATGGGGCGTCCCTAGGCAAGACACTGAGTTTTAATCCAAACCATCTTTATACAACACTCCATTTGTGACATTTCTGTATAAATTTCCCCCCAAAAATGCAAAGCAGAGTAATGAATTAGTTGCTTTTCTTTAAAAACCTTGTCTGCCTATGTCCTTAGACCAACATAGTTACAACCTACACCCCATAAAAAAAAGCAAATAATCTTTCTCTCCTTTTTTATCCCCTGATTATCCCTTGGCCAATACTTTCTGAGCAGGCCAAATATCTATAAAAACGAATTAGCCCCTTGCTTTGATATTAAAAGTAATAACTAAACAAACCCGGCTTGCCGGCTAAATATATATACATACATAACTTGTTCTCATTTCACATACAATTCCAGATTTCTCTTTTAGCCACAGGGTGAAGATCTGCTATTCCTGGGCTCTTGGAGTATTCAGCATGCCACTTTGTTTCTATTAAGTTTAGGTAACATTGCATCTGAAAAGTCACATTTGTGTGCGAGTGGAAGATGCTACGAGACTGGAAATGGCAAACGAGTTGGGAGCGGCTCTAGTGCACACGGCAGCAGAGCTGTTCTGCATCCAGCCCAAAAAATGATGTTGGGAAGTTACCTTGGTAAGCAGGCATCATACAAACAGCTCCTACAGATAGGCAGTGGTAGGCAATACTGTTGCTTTACAGAGAAGAAAAACACACTGGCAAATAGTTTCACATCTTGATGCTCACCTACCTGTAAGGTGCGCTGCCGAATAATACAAGCTCACACCTTGCTGTATAAGGTGCGTTGAGTCGCCCTGCTGTGTGTGTGCGTGGTTTAATTTCTCCCACCACTTAGTACTGAAGTTGTGAAAACTTCTCTGCTCAGAGGAAACGTGCCAAGCCTCTTACATTTCCTAACGGGCATAATTATTCAGTAAAACAAACACCTAAACCCACACTGTCTAAATACAATTCCCTTTTATTGATTTTTTTTAAAACTCTATTGAATTTGGTATTTTAAGACCCTTAATGAAACAGCACGTAATGCTGCACTCAGTACCATACATAAATCAACACTGGGGACAGGATATCAAGAGCAGGTTAATTCTGGCATCGTTTACCCCCGTGTGCCCCTGTGTCAAGCGGCCTAGTGTCTTGAGCGTTTGACTGGGACTCAGGAAACCTGCATTTTATTCCTGACTCTGCTCTAGAGCTTCGGGCTGACCTTGGGCGAAAGCCACTTTCATCTCTCCAGGCCAAAGTTCCCCCACCTGTAAAATGGGCCTAATGATAGTGAACTTCTATGTAAGGCATTTTGAGACTTACAAATGAGAAGTACCAAATGAGAGCTAGACGGTCTCACTTACATGCTTTTGGGCAGAAAGTAGAGGCAGAACTTGACCCATTGATGTAGCCCAAGCTTTTCAAAATACCACGCAAAGGAAAATTTGGAATCAGCATGGAACGTTTTGGCCAATTGAAGACCATTTCTGAATCAGAACAACATTTTTTTTGCACGGGGGGAATCCCAGCCCAATTCTCCTTTTTCTTACAGCGCATTATTTACTTGTTTTCTTGATTTACTCAGTACAAATCCAAACCTTTCATTCGAATGTTGCTCAGGAGCTGTTCTTCATGCTTATGAAGGTTTGCCCCTTTTTCCATTTTTTGCCCCTCTTCCCATGTTTTGCCCCTCAACCAGAGCAGGATGTTGTTAATGAAAATGATAGAAAGCTACAATAACAACAGAAAGACAAATACAGGGAAACACCTGACAATTGCGGTAGGTATTTTGTAGTGATCATCAAGGAGGACTGGATGGACATAGTGGAAGAAGGAGCACAAGAAGAAAGCGTTTTGCTCAAGGCACGGTAATCGGAGCATCCTTAGAGCGGTATCTTAACAGCAGGGAATATTTGCGTGCAGACTATCCCCCTGCTAGCTGTTGCTATCAGCAAAATCTAGTTAAATCAGAATTATTAAGCTCATTCTGGGTGGCCTGCCCATACAAATAATCAGGAATTTAAACTGTGAGGCTAATAATCTGGGAAAAGGCCAAAATGAACAGCTTCATTAATGTGCAATAGGTTTCACACCTTCTAGAGTGTGTAAAGCCAGTGAAGACACGTGGACTTCTACCGGCGGAGGATCAGGCTTGCAGATCATCTGGGGCTTCATCTCCAGCTCTGGGCACAGCACTGCTTACACAAGCCAGCTGTTTCCTGCTGCAAGACCCACAAACACAAGATGTGCATGTGCAAATGAGACTGTCGACCCCTTCGATGCACACACAGGTAGGGATGAAAACACATCCCGAGAAATTTGTACCCAGGACAAGTGCAAGAAACAATTTAGCTTTTAACTTGAAAGCAGGTGGTGGAAACGGAGGCTATTTCAACTGGGTGGACTTAAACCGCTTGGGCTGGGTATATGGCATTGTACACAGAAGCACATAACTTGCACATGGGGCAGCAGGGAAAGCAATGGCACGGTGCATTTGACAGACTGCTGGTCTGTTAGGCACGTAAGCTTAAAGACAAACCCTTTCAAATCATGGGCATGGGTAGTCAGAGGAGAGCCTTGGGTCTGTGGACACTGCACTGTGAACATGGCTTAAACCTTGGTTAGTCTCAAATTTGAAAGCAAGCGCCAAATCGCACAGCAAAGCAAAGTTACAAAGCCCTGAAGTAGAGTCTGTGATGGAAATGCCGATGCAAGGGTAACCCTGCCAATCACATATGTGGTGTTATAATGTGCCTCACTGTTCAGCATCTATTAACATTTTTTCCAAAGGCACTTTTTTTTGAAAGCAAGCAGTAAATACACTTTTCAACCTTCATATAAAATTCCCTCTTGTTCTACAGAAACTGCCTTGAAGGTGGTTTTCTTCTCCTCCTCCTCAACTGAAGGCATCTTTTCCCTAGCTAAACAAAATTACCTGTGGGCCCTACTACAAAGAGGAAATGAAGCATATTATTTTTAAAAGGATCAAAGTTCTTGTTCTCCTTGTTTCCAAGAACTAGATGGAAATCTGAAAGAATTATTGTTTCGAAGGAATAGGTCCCTAGAAAGCCGCACAACGACAGGGAAGGAATGCGTTTGCTAATGCCTTGTTCATGACCAATAAAAGTTCTTCCAGGAACGTACCTCTGTGCTAGCTGCATCTTGAGAGCATAGCAAAGAAAAAGCTTTCTAGACCCTGATCTCAAAACACTGGGAAACAGACTTTTCAGAGGCTGGGAAATAGTTAAGTACCATTTTTATGTAATCGTGCTGGGAGATCTGAAATTAAGAGGTAACAAAGCAAGCACTAACAAATGCAAGGAAGAAACTAAACAGCAATGAATGAAGTGGCAAATATTGGCTGGTTTACCAAGACAAAAACATGATAAAAGGGCATGAATTAAATTTGGCATCATGTGCAAGTACTGACAATAGACCTGTACGTCTAACTGCATAAAAACAGAGATCTCAACCTGTGATTTCCCATGACCAGAAGTCAACAGCACCAATAACCTCCGGGTGAGAAGAGGAGGAAGCACTACCAATGGCATTACTGGTCTGAGCTCAAAACCTAACATTTTCATTAGCAAAAATCCCTTTTAAAAAAAAAAGTCTTCCAATGTTTACTCCATATTGGCAATTCTAGTTGTGCTGGCTCTGCAGCAGGGCAGATATAATGATGCGATGGTGCGTGTTTACATACGCTGCATCCTCTGGGAAGATCTTGCTTGGCTCAGGGTGACAAAACCACCCTACGTCAGGAAGGCTAGCAACTTTTACACCTGTCACTAGGGGACCTGACAGTCTAAGGCTTTTTGTGATGGATCTACTGAGAAAAAGCTGCATGAAAAATGGGCCCAGCCTAACCGAGACTGACAAAGAGGAAAAAAACGGAAAATTACTGTTCACCATTCAGTTGCAACCTATTGCTCCCTCTGCTCTAATTTCCTCCTGTGTTCTGGCAGCAACCACCTTGACATATGCCATCAGATCAGACTCACTGTGAACAGTGCTTCAATGAGATAGTTTAATGAGAAGCACTAGTCAGCACTAGGTTTTGGCTCCAATGCATAATGACTTCATACTTTTCCCCTAGTGCACTTGTTTCCAAGTCCCCATATGCAAAGCCTACCAACAGAACTGGAGCCCATTTGTGGCTTAGCACTGTCAGGACACCTTCCCCGCATGCCTTCTCCCCACCCGCCCAACACCATCCTCCACAATACTAGAGCTCCAGGAAGTCTCTCAGTGAAGTTGCAGCCTTGCAGGCAGCACAGTCATTGGGCTTCATAGTCAGGTCTGTTGTTGAACCTGCAAGTACCATCCTAATAGAGAGGGCTCAAGCTAAGAGGCTTAATCTGGGAAGCTAAAGGTGTCCCACTTAAAAGGTCATTGAGGCCCACAGAGGCCTCAGCACAAGAGGGAAGCGATGTGGTCAGCACCATGCTCCAGCCACCTTTTACCTTGTACCCACTGGATAGGAGGTGGGTGGGCCTTGGGGCCACACTGAAAGTGGAAACAATGAGCAAACACCTACCGCCCTCACCTGGGATCAAACGCAGGTCTTTCCAGTCCACCCTGGAAAGCCACACAGCACCCAGTGCATAATCTATACACACCCATATTCTTTCATCATGTTTAAAATTCACCCAGGACTCAAATGCAAACATTACAATGTGACACTTCCTCTAAGCTATTAGATTTGAGATTACAACTCAAGTGACTGATTCTGTGCAGGGACCGGTTATGAAGGCAAACATAGTATTTTAATAAAGTACACAAAAAATGTATGCTCTAGTCCCATGATCCTGTGTATAGAAGTGCAACACTAACCATGAATTATCTTGTTTTTGGCTGTGCATTCGTCAACCCCTGCTGAATGGAACAAGTCTACTGCACACCCTTGGCTTTACCATATTAGTTGGAGAGATGCGGTCTAGAGAGATGAACTTTCATGTTGAAACCCTTTAAGAGTCTGCAAGTGCTTGAAACTAAACTGCTGCATTACCTTGGAGACAGTCCTCCGTGGGAGCAGTTAGTAGGGGAGGTCAAGGGGCTGGTTCTGCTGCTGGAGTGGCGAGAAGGGGTCCGACCGATAGTATTGCTGGGAGAGCCCTGGTAGAGAAGCAGAAAAAGAAGGATTAGGCAAGTATTACACTATAAGACAGAAGACAAAATGGGTCAGACTTCTGCCTTCATGTACGTGGGACAACCCAGAGGTTGCAGGGGGCAGAAATATAGGATGCAACCAGTTCAGTTTGGATTCTGGTTTCTCTTCTAAGGCACCAGACACACAACAACTGACGTCAAAATGGAAGTGCCAACAGCAGCAAGATTTGGCCCATTCTCATTAACAGGTGTCCACTCAAGAAGGGCTTGCTGTTTCTGAATTTCAGGATCTGCCCGTGAATGTGTTTTGGGCAAGCTTTGAAAAATCTGGCCCGCACAGTATGGAAACAGCTGGTTAAGGAGAGCTCATAACATCAGCTTAGCCTATGTGTCTTCCTACCAGCCACAGAAGTCCCACGTTTAAATGCCTATTGCACATCTGTCCTCCTGTTATTAGTGTTGCTCAACTTCTCTAACATAATTCTTGGCATCCCAGAGCCTTATTCTGGTGACTTCAAAGTACTTCCACTTTGCTGTTGGGATGTGCATCGTCTCAGATGTTCTTCTGATTTTCTTTACAATTAGTTGGTTAGAGCCTGGTCCTCTATGGCCTTGTGCCAGCATTTTACAACACTGCCAAAGGGGTACAAAGGCTCCTGGTCCACCTGGTCACTGCGTCACTCCCCTCGCCCCTACGCACAGGTGTGAATGACTACACAACAATCCAGCCCTTCTCCCTATGGGCCTAATCCTGCAGTTGTTGCTCAGGCAAACTGTCCATTGAACTCAATGACTGTACAAGGCTGCAAGGCTTGACCCTACCTGATTTATACAGGATTTCTCTATATAAGTGGGTTGTTACAGTCAGGAGACTGTAGCAAAGACTATCCTGATACATGCTGAAGGGAGAAAAAGTAATTTACAGATGAACTAAAAAAAAATCCCTATTAATTTGTTCATTCAATAGCATTATTACCTTTAAAGTCTTCATAAAAACCAAAATGCAGCATTGCTAGTTAGAGTTGAAAAGACCTTCTAGATCAAATCCAACACCCTACAAGTCCCTGGCTGAACCACGTACGAGCTATTTCTCTCTGTTCAATGGCAGCGTTGGGCAAAGGGAGATTGTTGTTCCCATTAGCCAAATACCCAGGCTTCTGAAAAGTACCAACTGACTGAGGAGCACAAATGACTGAAATCTTTGACTTTTAGGGCATTTATACACATACTTCTTTTGTCCCGCAACATGCCAGAGATCCACCACTTGCTTAAATCGAGTTGTTCTTGAATTTCAGGAAATGCCCATGAACGGTCATTGGTTAATCAAGTCTGCTCCGCATGAGAGCTGCTGCGAACTGTGCTGCAACACGTGCAGTTGTATAAATGGCAAAATGCGTGGCAGCGCACAGAAAACGGCAGCGGTGCGCTTTTGAAGTAAAGCACCTTCTGTGCGTCTTGGTTCAAAAGTGCACTGCTGGCATTGTCTCAGCACCGACGCGCGTTTTGCCACTTATACAACCGCCCAAGCTGGGCATATTTTGCCACTTATACAACCACAACCATCGCAGAGCCGGGCCACCGTGGTGGTTACACGTGTAAAAATGCCCTTAGAGACTCCAAAGTCACTTGGGCACGAAAGTCCCGCGTGGTCTCTGTATAGGCTACGCTACATCAAACCCCAAAGGACCCAAGGGCTGCTCCTAAAACAGAAGACACCACAAATATACTGCTAGAAGTGCTGCTGCTGTGCTAGGTTTGGAGGTCAGAAACCACTTATCTGTGCCCGTCAGCGGCGGGTGCCACTCACCACGTTGGTGTTGCTGGAGTTCTTGAGGTGGTTGTGCAGGAGCTTGGTAGCACCGTCCTGGAATGTTTTCGGCAAGGCACCAAGTAACATGGTAAACTCAGGAGTGTTCAGTTCAAAGAGGGAGATCAGGACTATTTGTGCTGCCTGGAAAGAGGAAAGAAAAAGTTAAAGGATCCGGCAGTTCTTTCCCGAGAGCGATGAGAGCTACGGTCTGTTGGAAAGGAACCTTACAGGAAATGAGACACGCGTTGCATCTCAACAGACCCGCTCCAGAGGACTGCTAGAGACACCTCTGTCACGTACCGCAAAGGAGCACTCCTGAAACTACCCCTGGCATCGTGATGTTGACACTACATTTACACGACTTACTTTGGGCTTATGGTTCTGCCTCCAACTCAGGTGTAACAACCTTAAAACCCCTCCTGTCCTGCAGGTTAGACCCCCTCGAGCACCGCAGAGCGGCTATAAAGAGCCAAAGAAATCCACAACAAAGCAGAGACTTCCTTCAGGTCAGATGAACTCTTAAGGTTTTGGGACTGTTGATTCTTATCCCAGTGGCTTTTTTCTTTAAATGCAGAAGGAAAATCCTCTCTCCACTCACCCGAGGGACCCACAAACCTGATACATCAGGTAGCAAGACCCTGCCTTTTCCTTTCCTTCTTAACCCGACTCCTCATCCCAAGGGCTCAGAGAGCAGCAGCCAAAGCCCCTTCAGAAAAGGTGCCACTGTGCAAAGAGGAATCTGCTTTCCCACTAAATTCAGTGGGAATTTCAAATCCTGGAACCACTGTGGTCAGGAGTTCACCCCTGGTGCCTAAGCTGATTCATTTCCTGAACAAGATGCTCGAGTCCATGTGGATATGCACGGCCCTGTGTGCTGTTATTTAATGATTCTTTTAATGGGAATGCGTTCAACACAAGGCAGTGTGCACACAACTGCAAAAGCAAATCTCAGCCACACACCCCTTACCAGGCTTGCACTAGCAGCATGTGTGCATGAAACACTCCCGTTGTTTCTTCCCCTCCTTTGCTTGTTTTAGGGAAGCATGAAAAGACGTGGCAACTCCTGCTTTACTGCAGTCAAAGCAAAACACGAAGCTTTAGCACGGGAGGACCTCCACAATGAGCTCTGCAGTAGCGTGTCCTCCAGCCAGCGTGCAGCTTTCCACCCTGCCAACCTCCAGAATATGTATCTGTAGCCTGGGCTTGCAAAAGGAGAAGGCAGATTGAGTGCGCTCTGAGCAAGGAAACTATGGGCAGCCTCTGCCACGGCACCCATTTGGGTTAAAGCCCTTCTGGAAATTCCTCTGACTTCCTAAAAATGACGGATAACTTTGAACGCAGCTAAAACCCAAACAAAGACATGTCGCATTCCTGCGACAGCCACTGGGTGCTCCTTGGCCCAGCTGAGTCAAAGCACAGGACGGTATTTTTAGCAAATTATGTATTTTAAAACCTTGCCATAATTGAGCATACCCACCGCCTCTTCTGAAGTGGCATCTATCAGCAGAGAATGGACTCGGACACACAGAGACCCTTTCTTCATTCGAGGGAATCAAAATCCTCTACTGTTTCAGTGTGCAGTTGTTATTCAACCTGCTCTCTCCCCTCCCTTCCTGAGCTCAGGCCCCAGTACTAACTTTGCATTTAAACAACGCTTTCCCTCTGTGGTTGTCAAAGCCTCATCATGTTAGTAGTCTCATTTTCATATAACAGATGAAGAAATTGAGACAGGAAGAGCTGAAGGGATTTGCCCGACACTGCAAAAGAGGTGTCTGGAAGAGCCACTGAAGAGCAGCTTTCTGGCATTCAAGCTTAAACAACAGGCAATGCTACCTCCTGCAAAAGCTCCTTCTGACATTAATAGCTTGTAGGTAAGTCTAAGTCTCCCACAGCATGGAAGGAGGGAAAAGGAGTATTATTTTCTTTGAATATTTTCTTAAATCTTCTGACTTGAAGACATCTCCGTAGCCAGCTGAGCTACAGGGTCTGCAAAAGAGTCCATGCATCTCTGCCTGTCCTCAGATACAGACTTCAGCTGCTATCAACACCCCATTTTCTGAACTGAAAATATTACCGCACGTGAAAGATCCTGCAACACAAGGGTCAGCGTGTTGAACAAAGAACAGCGAGCATGCCAAAATCCATTCCCAGCCAGGAAACCATGCACACTCCACATTGTGATGCTTCATTTCGTGATTAGAAAACGCGCATGCGGGTCACTACTGCAACTTGACAAGCAGATCTCAACTTCAGTGCGGTGCAAAAATTCTAAGAGATTCAACCAGAAAGGATCCCAAAGACCTTAAAACGACCTGAACTGGACTTGTATATGCCTCATCCTGCAGTTCTAGCTTAGGCCAGGCACCTGCTGAAATCAACTGCAGTCTGACCATCCAGGGCTACAGGACCCAGCTTGTAAGCATCTTCTTTCCATCTCATCCAAAAGGAATGCACTGTTTGTTGCTTTACTTACTGCAGACGAACATTGCAAAATAAACCAATTTCCTGAAAATAAAAGCCAAGGATTTTCTACCAAAGATTCAAAGGACAAAGATAGCACCCTTGTTCCAGCAGAGCTGGCAAGAGCTTCCACAGGTTTCGGCAGCAGTGAGACGACATGGGCCCAAAGTTAGTGTTATTCACTCTGAAAGTGCAATCGTCCACAGCGCTAACGGGCCACACTGCATGAATCTTTTCCTACCGTGCTGTGGGTACAGTTTGCTCTCGGATGCAAAGAGGCAGCAAGAGCAACGCCTTAAGGTTTTCCATCCACCAGATATAAGCTAGGGAAAAATCACTGATTAGAATAGGTGGATGTGCCTTTATTTTTAACTGGTCTAACCATAAAGGCCAATTTCAGAGGTGATTAGGTATTTTGGAGCACCTCGAGTTTTAGGTGGCCATCCTGGGACACTTTCCAGCGTGGTCAGCCTGGGACACCCCAGGTTTAGGTGGCTATCCTGGGACACCCCAAGATCACATCTCACTTTTGAAAGTCTTGGCCCAGGTCACCAAATCCATATTATCATTAAATGACTGCATAAGCATACAGACAAAAGGCGGCTTGAGCACTGCATGGGCAGTGCCTGTCATGTTGAGGATACAGACTTGGAAGGAGTCTCCTTTCAGCTCTACACCTGACACTGCAAACAGGGAGAATCTAGATGTTATGGATCGTCTCCTCTTACCGGCTAAATCCCTTGCTGGGTGAAGCAGGAGCAATCCCAGCAGAGTCAGGGGCTGGTTGTGGCAGTGAAGAACACGGCTCACTCTCAGGACTCGATCATTTAAAAGGGACGTGTTACCTCTACCCATCCCCTGGAAATGCACCGCTGCAATTCCCGCTTCCCTGAGCTTTGGGCTGCCCCCAGTGTGCTCATACTCGTCCCACTGCTGAGCTGAGGAACGCCTCCTACAAAGGCTCTGTTGTCCATCAGCATCGCGCACTGCATGGGCATGAATACACCCACACCTTGTTTTTAACCGGGTGACCAGTAGTGGGCGAGCCAGGTTTGCTAAATTCCAGCAATTTGGCCAAAACAGACAGGATGTCCTTTGAAGCAATGTTTGGCAGCGTTCAAGTTACAGGCGATGTCGGGACCAAAAATGGGAGAATCACCGGATTTTAGGAAGGAAGTGGAGTCAGCGCCATGAGCTTATTGAGAGACTTGGACGGTGGCAGGCAGTCTGACCCAGAGCACACATATTGGTCCTTTAGGCCTGCCTGCAGCTTTGTTAAGGGGTTACTTCTTAAAGAAGTAATCCTAGCTGCAGGCAGGACTGTAGGGCTTCTTTAAGTAACCCCACAGTCAGCCCAGACAGAGCCAACATTGAGACAGACCTCTTCCGGCTGCATAATTTAGACAAAAGGGTTAACAGAAAGGCACACAAAAAACAAACCATTATTTTATAGACACACTCACACACACGCAAAGAAAGGATCACTTTTGGAGGCACGCAGCAAGTGCCTCTTTACACAGCTAGACTGCATTAGAAATCTAAATTGCAAACAGAAAGTGTATTTTGTGATTAGTGTACACAGCTTTTCGTCTACCTGTTTACATTTCTCTTCCAAGTTTCCTTCACCGGGCCCTGAGGTGGCTGTAGTTGATCTAGCTGGCAAATCCTCACCTACCCAACTATGCATGGTCTGGGTTCAACAAATAGGAAAGGTAATAGGATTTAGTTAAAGCAAGCACAAGATTTTCAACTAACAGCATTTAAAGGCAACATAAATTCCAGGTTCTTGAACAAGGCACCTTCAATACAAGCTATTTTCTTAATGTGGAATAAATAAAAAAACAACAATGACCTTTGAATTAACGGAAGGGGGAGATCGTGCAGGCCACAAGCTCGATGGCTTAAGCTGAATTTGACTATGGACCTCTACATCTGCAGGGCTCTTTAAACTTTTCTCATTTTTTTCTGTTCTAACAATGCTTTGCACTTGTGCCATGCTTTCCTCTTCACAGATATATTTGGATGTTAACCGATTCATTCCTCTTACCACTATTTTTATGCATGATTATCCCCCTCTTGCAGACAGCAGACATGATAGCGAGCTATAGGGGCATTAGGGAAGAGCCCGAGAATCCCTGGCTCTCAGCCTTGCCTCCTCTCCGCTAGTCCCAGTCTCTTGCAGCGTGGATATGGCTGTGGGAATAGCTACCGCATAATAAACGATACCTGGTGGGGGCGGGGGGTGCCGATGGGTGCAGTTTTGAAGGGAATTTTCAAGTTTAAAAGGGAAAAGGAGGAAACATTTCAGCAGTCCACTGGTTTTTAATAGACACTTGCCCAGAACGCTATTTTAAATGCCAGAATAAATACTGCACGAACTTAGGCAGTGTGCAGGTAAAGCAGCTGAATGTGTATAGTAATTTCAGCATCATCTGAACGTACCACTTATGGCATGAATTGCAGCTCCACATTTAACAGTATGTGTATTTTTTATATACGTACTATGCACATTATACTATAAACTACATGTGCACTTACAAGCATGATGTACGCACTTGTGACATACAGCAACTGCTTCCCCGTCTTAAAGGGCCATCTTTACGGTAGCTCTCAACTGCATTTTTAAAAAAAATTCTTCATTTTGCTTACCTCCTCACTTGAAGGAACAAAACCAGCTTATT